GAAAACTAAGACACTGATGAAACAAATTGAAGACAACACAGATAAAAAGATACTGTGTTCTTGGATTGGAAGAATCAATATTGTTAAAATGGCCATACTACCCAAGGCAATCTACAGATTCAGTGCAATCCCTATCAAACTACCAATGACATTTTTCACAGAACTGGGACAAAAAAAATTAAAAATTTGTATGGAAACACAAAATAGCCAACACAATTCTGAGAAAGAATGGAGCTGGAGGAATCAGGCTCCCTGACTTCAGACTATACTACAAAGCTACATTAGTTCAAAACAGTAAGGTACTGGCATAAAAACAAACATACAGATCAATGGAACAGGAGAGAAAGTCTAGAAATAAACCTGCCCACTTATGATCGGACTAGGTAAAAATCCACCTCTTCCAGAAAAACCACCAGATGAATGCCCTCTGATTGTAACCAGTCAGGCAGCTTCCATCCCCAGGCTATCCACCTGGGTAAGATTTAGTGTGTGGCACCTTTTGGTAACCCCTCTTTTAATATTGGGGAGCATCTCACATTGATGTGCATGTTGTTGGGTGGAAGCAGGAGTTGGCCACCTCTCAATCCCCTCCATCTTCCCACGATGCCTGGAAGAGCGTCTTGGTTACAGAAGTGAGTCAACACACCATTGCTAGATATCCAATTTCATTTTTAATGTCCAAGACAGCTCAGGGAGGGGAGCAAAGAGGCCCAATATAGTTAGTAGACAGATTTGACTAATTTTGTTGCTTCAGCCATTGAGTTGTGGAGCAAAGAGCTGCAGAGCCCTACCCTGGTTACGAGAGCCTCCAGCCACTAGTTCCATCACATACACCTATATGCTCATGTCCTGAAACTGCCCCCCAAACATTCCTTTCTGCCACTGGGCCACTTGCACTTTCAAATGCTTCTAAAATAGAAGTAGCATTGGAAGACCATGTCCATCAATAGAGACCCAGCCCCTCTCCCAAGGCCTCCAGATACCTTCATTGTCTCAGAATCTGACTTGAAAAGAACTTGGTGAGCAGAGTTCCAACTCTAATGGGCTCAGGAGTCCCATGGAAGACATCTCCAATAGGTGGTCATCTGTCCTTTGATTTGACACTGCTTCTGACCAAGAGCCAATCACCTCCTGAAAGCCATTCCATTTCAGAGCCCTAATTGTTAGACTATTCTTCCTTGGGCTGAGCTGAAATCTACCTGTTGTAACTGCCACCCATAGGTTCTAATTTTGCCCTCTCAAGCCACATAAAATACATCTTAATGCCTCTTCCACAGGGCAATCCTTCAAAGGGCTGAAGACAGCAGTCTTCACCATTCATCTAAATAAGAACTTTATTGTGTGACACTCAGACAAACTGGTAGCTGTGCTTTCTTGTCCAACTGGTTTAGGAGCTTCCCTCCAGTGGAGCGCCGCAGGTGATATACGTCCACACATTATTTACCGCAGACAGACAGAGCCCCTTGTTTCTTTGCCCGGTAACAACCCCAGGTTGTCCATCACGCACTTGCTCCTCTTTGAAATTCACTCTGCAGCAAGCACTTTTAAAGTCATGCACATAATGCATTTTAAAGAGCATTTTCTGCACAGAGCCATTTGCTCGGCCTCGGCACTAAGTGTGAGATGGAACAGTATTTCAGGGCAGTCCTCCGGCTCTTGGAGCCGTGTCGAATGTACACCAGGATGTATTTGTAACTATACATGACTCAGGCTCTAAATGCGGTGCTTTGTTAAATGTTCATTTGCTGATTAAAATGCATCTTGCAAAGCAAGAGCATTACTAATGCAGAACCCAGTCCAAAAATATGTATTATGTAATGCACATTTTTTAATAATGCAAGCAATCTCGGTGTATCTGTATTAGTGGACCTGCTTTGGGCTGCCATCTCCACTACAGGCATAAAGCACTCCTTCTGAAAAACGAAGTACTTTCCTGTGTATACTGAAGAATCATAATCTACCTCGCTGCTGACAGCTGGCATTTGTCTCCATTGAAAGGGCATTCACCGGTACCCACATAGTCCTGATTTTTTCCCAGTGTGCCCTAAAAACCATGGGAATGATGTTTTTGTGTTCCCTACCCTGTCCATGGGACTGCGCTGATGGAAAGAAAGAAAGCAGGCAGGTGACTGTGAGCAGACACTTTAAAAATGTCCCCCCTCGGTTGCGGTTGAGAGATCAGGATTTGGGATATACAGTTCCACACGGCCTTGTCCCATGTTCCAGAATAATGTCCACACAGTGAGTGGAGCCATCCAGGCACTTGTGATAATAAAACCCTGTCAGTTTCTCTGGAAAGTGTTAATAAGGACTTGGAATACAGACGTTTGTCCTTTTATGAAGTTTGCCAAATCAATCCCACTTTATTAAGCCAATCAGTATATTAATGCTATGAACTAACTCCAAAAACACAAGATGCAAGACAGACACAGCCAAGAAGCCAGGTCAGGAACATTCAAGACCATCCACATGCTGAGAAACAGCTGTGGGTGTAGGACGCTTTAGACCCTGGAAGGAGTACCAGCAAGGAAGGCCTGGCGGACCACCTCAGAAGGAAAGGAATTATAAGACGTCACACCTCCTCAAGTTTCCCCCATGTTGACTCAAAGATAAAAACCCCCACCTGTGCAACCTGTTGATCCTTCCATGGATTCTGGGAAGGTGGTTTTGCTGAGTTATACCACCTGTGGACTTGTCACTGTGGTAAAAGGGACACTCCATGTTTAACCAACCCAGACACAGTGGTCAGGTTACAGCTGGAACTCAGGAGATGCCAAAGTACTGTCCTTTCCTGAGCAAGGACCACTCCCGGGATCCCCTACAGGAGGGCACAGAGCTCATTCGATTTTCTAGGGCTAAAAAAGACATGTACCTTTGGGGTTCAACAGCATGATCTAGGGATGTCCAGCTGCCCCCTAACCCTAACACCCTGGTTGTCCCTGTAATTTCCTCCTGTCGAACGCACGCTGGATTACACAATGATGGCGGGTAAGGGGGGATTCTGAGTAGTTTAATGCTCTGATTAACAGCAGATTAATCTTAAATATCTTTTCCTTAATGTACAATTTTCTTCTCTTTTCCCACTCCTCTACCTTTAGCACCTAGAACAGAGTGCTAGGCACTTGATAATTGTTGAATGTACAAACTTTGCTGAAAATCTACTTCTGAAAGGAGATTTGAGCGGTACCCGGTGAGGTTTCCTTGATAGCTGATCGCCCTGAAGTGCCCCCCAGGGGCAGAGAACTGGTTGTACCTACTGAATATTAGCATGGAAAGACTTCGTTAGCGGTTCCAGCTAATTAAAGCGTTTCAGCACATGTTCTCAGCTAGAGCTCAGGGAGGTCCACCGATGGGTTTAGGGAGGTGGAAACCATCACCCCGTCCGTCTGTGGGGGCCCTTCTTAAGGAAGATGCTTATTCGTCCACAAGGTAATTAGGCGATTGAGGCTGCATTGGGGGGGGGGCTCTCAAATTATAGTCACTGTAACAGATCTGTCAAAGGTGGTTTCGGGATTAATGATTGCTTGGGGTTACTATCCTCAAACTGTTCAGCGCTTGGAAAATGCCCGGAATTGGATCGTCAGTACTGACGTACAGAACCTTCATTCCTCTGGAATATCTGCAATTTCGTGGTTTGCTTTTTAGCTGCTTCGGACTTTCTTCATTTTATCGATAACCTTGGAGAAGGTGGGGAGGGGTACGGACACCACGGAGAACCAACGCCCAGCTGCGCAACTATTCTAACCTGTGGCTGGCTGGCTGGCTTGCTCCTTGGCACCCGCCAGGCCCCCCGCCCCTCGCATCGCCCAAATGATTTCAAACAAGGTTCCCTCCTGCCACCTGCCGGCCCACTAGGGTCTGCGCCTCCGGCTCCGCGCCACCGCGCTGCTCGCGGGGAGACGCCCCCGCCTCCTTACTGCACATGCCCGGCAGAAGTCCGGGCGCGCAACTTTGCAAAACGGTCTCTCCTCGCCTCAGTCTCCTCTTTCCTCTCCCAGGCGAGAGGACCAGCGGAGGCACCTCTCCCGGGTCTTAGACTGCGGAGTCTAAGACTTAGAGGAGCCGAGAGGAGATAGACTTTTCCTCCCCTTTTCCCATCCCCTCTTTTTGCTCAGAGAGGAATGCAGAGGCGCGGAGCTTTAGAAAGTTGAGTGGTCAGGAAGGTAGGTGCTTCCCTTTTCCTCCTCCCACCGAGGTGGGGCTGGGACCTCCGGACCCAGCTTCTTACCTCGCCGGGAGCACCTTTTCCGGCTCCAGCAGCCGATGCATATCGGAGCCACTCTCTGCAGAGCCAGAGGGTGGGTCGGCTTCGCAGTGTGCGCGTGAGAATGGATCGTAGGTCCCGAGCTCAGCAGTGGCGCCGAGCTCGCCACAATTACAACGATCTGTGCCCACCCATAGGCCGCCGGGCAGCCACCGCACTCCTCTGGCTCTCCTGCTCCATTGCGCTCCTCCGCGCCCTTGCCACCTCCAGCGCCCGCGCCCAGCAGCGTGCGGCTGCCCAGCGCCGGAGCTTTCTTAACGCCCACCACCGCTCCGCCGCCCAGGTGTTCCCCGGGCCCCCTGAATCTGACCACGAGCAAGAGGAGGCCGACCTCGAGCTCTCCCTCCCCGAGTGCCTAGAGTACGAGGAAGAGTTGACTACGAATCAGAGACCGAGACAGAGTCTGAAATCGAGTCCGAGACCGACTTCGAGACCGAACCCGAGACCGCCCCCGCCACTGAGCCTGAGACCGAGCCCGAGGACGAGCGTGGCCCCGTGGTGCCCAAGCGCCCCACCTTCGCCCAATCCCTCACCGAGCGTCTCAACGCTCTGAGGTTGCGGAGCCCCGACGCCTCCCCAAGTCGCGCACAGCCCAGCACTCAGGAGTCCCAGAGACCCGGAGAAGGGGAGGAGACCGAGCCCGAGGACAAGGATCCGAGGGACCCCAAAGAGTCCGAGGAGCCAAAGGAGAAGAAGCAGCAGCGCCGCTGCAAGCCGAAGCAGCCCACCCGCCGCGACCCATCCCCAGAGTCCCCTTCCAAAAGGGGACCTATCCCCATCCGGCGTCACTAATGGAGGACGCGCCCCAGATTCTCCTTGTTTTTCTGGACCCAGGTTGGTTGCCCACCGCTTAACTGGGGAGTCTGGGGTCGGTGTGGGAGCGGCGGGAGAAAGGGAGGGAGAAAGAAAGACAGGTTAAGAGGAAAGCGGGGAGAGAGCGGGCTCCGCTAGCTAGCCCAAAGAGGCGGGGGCCCAAGATGAGCTGGGAAGAGCTCCCCAAATTCTCCCCAAGACTCCGGCGGGCGCCCCAGTGGCCAAAGGCTCACTGGACAGCGGGGCGCTCCCCGCGTCCTCCTGGAGACAGCCTGAGGTCTCGGAGCCGGTGCCCAGGATGCGCGCCTGAATCCCGGGGCGCCCCAGGTTTCAAGCTGCACACCCCAAAGGCACGGGTAAGTCACTTGCTTTACATGCTTTTTTTCCCTCCTGGAGAAACTAGTCTCTAACTAGTTGCCCTTGGCGGGTGCCAGAAACATGGTTCAGAGGTGTTCGCGCCAACTTTCAGGAAGCGAGAGCCGCCGCGCTGTAACGACACTGTTGCAATGTGCGTAAAGTAACCAGACTGAGACTGAGCAAGAACTCCGGAGACTGCCGGCCTCGGGAAAGCCTCGCGCGCGGTACTTAAGACACTCAGAGCCTGGAGCCCAGGTCCCGTCGCTGCCAATTTGGATCTGCGGGACCTCGGCACCAGTGTCCCCGGCGGCTGTGCGCCAGTCCTGGCCGCCACCACACGTCTCCAGGCGCTCGCGGGGCTGGACACCGCGCCAAAGAGCGTGCGCACCTGCCCGCGGGCCCCAGAGCCGACCTTTCCGAGCCGGCCGGCAGTTTCCCACGAGTCACCCATACTTGGAGGGCAGGCAGAGGAGGTACGGGAGTCTTGTGAGGCTACCAAGGTTGGTGGCGCGAACTTGGTCACGTCGGGCATCGCCAACCTCTTGGCGCAGCTGGTCTGGCGGCGGAGCTCGGTGCAGCTTTGCTAGGAGGTCCCGGGCTGTTTGCGCAAAGGCCTGGGGATGTAAGAGAGAGGCTGAGAGGTCAGCGAGGTGATTGCGAGCGGAAAGGTAAAGCAGAACAAGGTACAGGCTGGAGAGGGAGTTGCGCCTATCATCAGGGAACCCTACAACGCGTCTCCAAAGAGCGCGACACCCGCCGAGCCGGAGAAAAGGTGTTGGATCCGACGCAAGTCCTTGGGCGTGCGGTCGAGAGGGGGCAGGGGCCGGCGGCTTTGGCAGCCGAGGGGAGGGGAGGCGGCGCGCGTCAGCCATTTTCAGCTCAGTTGGAGTTAAGTTTGGAATCTGTAACCTGGAGGTGAAACTGTCCCGGTGCATGGGCACAAATACGGACGCAATCCGGTAACGCATCTTCGGCACGTAGTGTGCCTTTCTTGGCAGTCCTGGGGGGAAAGACTGATTAGCGATATGTATTTACAAAATCGCACCCGATTTGGAAACTGATCTTTTTGGTGCGCGCGCGTCTCGTTTTTGCGCCGGTTTGAGCTATTCTGATGCGAATGATGGGGGGGGGGTGAAGCGTTTGGAGACTTGAAATGAAAAAACGGGTCAGATTCTTAGACTCCTAAGATTGCGGCCGGAAGGAACACACGGGGTCTTCCTTCCAGGACTCTCCCCCTAGGAAAGGAGTCGCGGCGCCCCAGAACTTGGTTATGCCGGGATGTGGCGCTGACTAATGGCTGTTGGGTGCCGGTCTGGTCTTCACTAGTAAATTCGGGAAGGGAGCTTCCCTGGGCAGCAGGGGAGTGTCCTGAAGCCTGGAGGCTGCAGAGGACTTGAAGAAGGGTCCAGAGTGACCTGCCTGTGGCTTGAAAGCATGAAACTGCCTAAGTGAAATGGGGGCTCCCCAAAGCTGACATTTCTACTTAGTGTAAAAACAGCGATGCTGTGTTCCCTTCCGTGGCATTAAATGTTTGTTTTTTTTCCCCCCTCTGGTAACGTCTCTGCAGCCTGAGTTCACCCAGTAAAATGCCTCTTGTGAATAAGCAAAAGCAGTCAGGGTGTGGTAGGCTTTTTTGGTATGCTTTCCAGTGTGTGGGCTGCCTTCACAAACTGGGGAGCCTGGGGGACCCGCTTTCCCACAGAGCTAGGTTTTTGCATTAAAGAAATTAGCATGTCGCCTTGTTGCAGGATGAATAAACAAGTTAAAAAAAAAAAGTCCTCAGCGCCTAGCCCATACCTCTGCCCCTGAGTCTTGGGCTGTTTTTTAAACAGAAGCCTGTATAGGGAGGGGCTGGCTCTTTTAACTGTAAGAAATAATACCAGGTTAGTTATTGGGGAGGGGGTCCCCATTTAGGAACACACACTTTGCCATCTTTCAGACATTCCTCCAAAAACGACTTGATTGTGAAAACCTGTTAACCACCCACACCCCCTCCCTGACTCCGCTCCCCTCCCCCACCCTCTCCTCCATCCTGGCTGCAGGGTGGGTGGAAGAGCTATTGGGAGCATACCAAACACCTGAGGAATATACCAGCCCTCCTAGGAAAGTGCCTGGGACCTGCCCCAAGGAGAGTGGATTTTGCTACTCAGACCCTGCAAAGCCTCTTTCTACCTAAGGCAATAGTGTTCAGCTGCCTTTCTTTTCCAGGGGCGTTTCTGGCAAGTTCTCCTAGCATTCCCAACTCACTAGTCTCCCAACTAGCCCTTTGTCTTGCCCTGCCCAACTGGGGTGTTAGCATTTGAATGGGTTTACTTTACCCTTCCAGCTTTGGAAATGGCCTCAAAAAAAAAAAAGAACAGACCTTGTAATTGACCACTTGGGTGAATTACCATATTTCAGACTGGGAGAGAAAGAGGTAGAGAAGGAGGTGGAGAATGAAGCTAGTTAAGTGTGATGGTATGCTCCAATATTCAGGACTGTTTACTCTGCTACATTGATCATTTGCTTAATAGAAATCTGCTTTTACTTGGACCATTTTAACTAAACTTGTTGAGTTGGAAAATCGCAGCATGTTCAAATATTGTGTGTTGTCAACAGTCTGGCTTAGGTTTACTTCTGAAGTTTGGCAAACAAAACTTTTCATCTATGTTTATCAGAATTCAAGAAATGGGAATTTGAAAGTTTGGAGTTGTTTTAAGATCATGTTTCTTTAACGCACTAGAAACTGTCCCCTCCCTGGAATTGCTTACCGCCCTTTACTCTTAGCCCTCATTTTTAGCAGCTGTGATAGAAGGTTTAATGAGGAAGAAAGCTGCAACTTCAGTGTTGGGAAGAATGAGGTCTTTTTTTGTTTGTTTAATAACCGGTCTGGATTTTACTTAATTTGTCTGTATTATCACTGATCTTCAAGCAAAGGGAAGCTATTGAGAGGAAACTGAGTAGAAACCATGGTGTTGGGGAAAGTATGTCTCTTAACAGAAAAGTGACCTATCACAAGAAACAAATCACTAGAATCAGATTAAGCTTCCAGGAGCGAGTGAAGTCTCCTCTTAAAATTGCCGGGCAAAGGGGGATAAGAATCTCAAGTTACATCTTTAATCCCCACGCTCCAGAGCAGGGGCAGGAGTCCCTTGTCCTGCTCTGCCAGGTTAACGATGCTGTTTTCTGAGTCCTGATGCCCCAGAGATGGGCAACGGGATCTAAGGAGCTTCCAGCCCTGGTCCTGCCCAGCAGCCTTGGGGCAGACCCAGCACCCTCTGCCTCCGTTAGTTCATGTGGAACATGAAGGAGATGGAGATGGTCCTCCCATCCCTTTCAGCTCCAATGATATGCGGTTAATTAGTTTAAGCAGCCCTGAGTTGTGCAATTTGACTCTCCCAAATGATTTGAATGCTAATGGCTCCAGAAAAGTTCTAAAGTTGATAAAATTGAAGCACCAGTTGTGAAGAAATCTGTTTTGTGTTGATCTGATTTGGTGTTCTCAAATCTGGTTTTGAACTGGGGGCAAAAATGGTTTAGAGGCAGGTTAGAAGATACACAGACAGACAGGTAAGTTAGAAATTACAGAATTCCACTGTGTCCTATTACTCGCCTGAGGAAAAACCTGGCCCTCCTTAAGAGCAGGTATTTAGTGGTTTTCTTAGGTCTGCAGGTGTTTCCCCACCTGCTCTCCCTGATTTCAGCATCAGAAAACAAGCTTTTAGGGGGTTGGGGGAGGGGCACAGCATGGAGCCAACTTCGCCCGGAGCAGCCTGGAGATGCTGGCTGCTTTGGGAGGGAGATGAATGAGTGCCAGCCCCGCTGGTTAACTGACCACAAGTGCTGAATGTGTTACTTGGTAGCACTTTCAAAAGTCCTGATTAGGCTAGACCTGAGGAAATGGCTCAGAGGATGCAGCCAGTTAATAAACTAGTTTTCCCAACCTTTTTTTTTTTGGTTTGGTTTTTTCATTCTCATCCCCGCCCAGGAGCTTTTTCAGATTCTTTTTTCTTTAATTGGTCCTCTCCCATGAAATGTTAATGGCACAGATATACAGATGTGCTGTGGTTCTGTTTCTGTACTGCGGGACCTGGCACTAGCTAAGATTTTTTTGCAGTCCCCTCAAACCAATTTTGCCTCTCCTGCAAATGCATGAGATAAAGAAAGCAAATGTCTAAAACAAAACAAAAAAAAACTGGCTTATGTCAAATTAAGTGATTAAACATCCCATTTTTGTTTTATATTTTCCTTTGAGGGGTGCTGCATATTACAAGGCTCTATGTTAGGTGAATTTTACTGATGTTTCTCTTTTTTAAATCTCCTGCGGTTTTTGTCCCCCAAAGCCCCTAGTACCAGTGCTGGTGCCTCATTAATGCCAATGGCAGAGAAGCCAGAGGAAACAGCCTAGTAACTTAGTTCTCCCCAGGCCAAGAGTCTGCAGGGCCTGGCCACTGTCACCTGCTGACAGCACTCAGCCAGTAGAGGCCGGACATCTGAGAGGAGCTGGCACCCCCCCTCCAACTCCCTATTCCAGGGTAGAACTGGGGAGACTGCCTTCCTAGCTTCATGTGTGGACGCAGCCAGTTTTCATTCCATGGGCTTATTTCAGGGTGAACACGTTATAAATTAACAGGGGGCACAGCTATCAGAAAGGCAGGGTAAGACTGGGCTCCATGGAGAGAGGGCAGGAGGCAGCTGTGATGTGAGGGGAGATTTGAGGACAAGGGGAAAAGAAGGTTTGGGGGGAGTCAGGGAAATGGCAAGATGCAGGGAGATGAGGACACCTGAGAAGGGAGAAAAAATTGGGAGGTGGGAATCACAAAGCCTATAAACATCAGGGGTAGAGGTTGAAAAAGTAGAGATTTAGGGAGAAAAAGGTTTGGGGGAGACTCTATGGCAGGCCTTAAATACTTGGTGGCAGCAGGGGTGACGTCAGGTCGGCATTAAGAAGAGCATTTTTCACAGCCAGGGATGGCAGTGGACCGCACTGCTGGGCACCTCAGATTAGTCACCGTTACTGGCGCTTTCCCTCCGAGAGTCTCTTACTGGCCTGGCCCAGCAATTTCAATTTCATAGGTGCAGTAGAGTTGTCATACGCATGCCTCAAATGGAAAGATTAAAAACCTAGGAAATCTTGTTTTCTAGTTCACATCCTCAGTCTTGGACTTTGGTTTAGGAAGAGGCCTTGAATCTCAAATCTGAGGGGCTCAGGGCCCAGGATGCTGCCCCGCCCCCCAGCAGACAAATACATTTTTCCTCCCCCCAGGCAAGAGGTGGCTTCTGAGTGCCCGGCTTCTGAGTGCTCTGGCTTACTGGCTTATGTCCTGTCTCAATTAGGCTTCATTAGGAAAATTCGCTCTGGGTAATTGAGGTTGTGTGAGGAGGTGAAATATACCATTCCCCTTAAATTCAAATGACGTTGCCAAGAAGCCCCCAGGGTGCCTGGAATTTCCACCATGAATTACCGACATTTTAAATAGAGTTTCCACTAAAGCCAAATTTATCTTCCAGGATTCCCTTCTGCCATCCCAGCCCCCACTTTTGCCCCCCTCCTAGACCCCTTTCCCGTGGCGCTGTTAATTTTTTCTGCTTGAAATTCTCTGCTGCATCATCAGCCAGCCTGGAGGAGGAATCCACAGTCCCGTGACTGGAGGATGTCTGGACCCACCGTACAAGCGCAGGTGGTCAGGTGCCGGTCTCACGTCTGGCTGCAGCAGAATTGGGCAGCCCTCCCAAGATGAGGGCCACTGAGAACGTCTAGTGAACTGAACGAAGGGTCTGAATTCATGGTGGGGAACCCTTGGCCTCTGGGGGCTTTTTAATCTGAGCAGATCAAGTCTTTCATAAGTCTGGCTGCCACTGTCTTTAACATCAGCCTTGCATCTGCAACTAACGCACATCCACTGGAGGTATTTTCCGTGCAGTTGGCATTTGCCTGAAACAGCTTGGTCACACAGACCCTCCTGCAGACAGCAGTAGGCTGCTGCTGCCTCCACCGGCCAAGGCTGGCAGAGGAGATACTGGGAGGTAAAGGCATGGGTGCAGCAAGGCTTCACAGAACAGTAATTCATTGAACAGCTTCAAAGTCTCATTGCTACTCAGTAGTGCTCAGAAACCATTTGTCACTGGCAGCTGAAGAAATGTAAGCGTTGCCTGAATTCTCTTTCCTGGGTCCTCGCCTTTCTGTTTTTGCCTTTTCCTCACAACTGGTGAAAAGATTTCTCCATCTTCTTATTTGGAAGCAACCCACTGACAACTAATGACATGAGGGGGCTGCAGGGAAAGCCCCTGCAAACTGCCTCCCTCCCAGCCCTGGAGAGGGAAAAATCCACCGCCCAGGAAGAGCACTTCCCCCTGATTTCTGCTCCCTTCTCTCCTGCCCACCTCCCCTCCATCTCAGGGACCCTCTTCCACTTTGCTTTCTCTTTCTTGGAAACAGGGATGAGCTAAGAAAGCAAGCTGACAGGCAGCTACTTAAAATTTGGATGGGCCTTGTGCCTTTGGCCATGAGTAAAAATCCCCACATGTAAGTACACTGACGCTCCTTGCTGATTATGCTGTGTGCCAGCATGGAGGCATCAACAGAGCCGTGAGACAGAGTTTGGGAGGCGGGGGGGGGGGGGGGGTCATGTCCCTGCAGGTGGCCTTGGTGCCATTCAGAGCGTCAGCAGTGAAGGAAATACCTTTCCATGGGGGTTACCTACTTACAGAAAGCCAGCTAGCTGATCACTACCTGTGGCTCTTGGGCCATTTGGCCTGGACAGGCTGACCTTAGAAATGCCACGTTTGGTGGGGAGAGTGTAGCTAAGTGGCAGAGCGCACGTTTAACATGCACAAGGTCCTGGGTACAATCCCTGTTACCTCTGTTTAAAAAAAAAGAAATGCAGTGTATAACTGAAACATGAATAGTGTTTATCAGTTTAACTGAAACCAGAGCAATGCTTCCCATTCTATTGTTAATGCATCAAGTGTAGAAAATCTGTTCTTTTTAAGTAGCTACATATACAGATTTCAAGGAGCTTTAACCTGGATTCCACCAGCCAGTCCCTCCCTCCTCTCTTGGAGGTATCACCTCACTGCAGCCCCTCCCTGGTGCCCACCCCACTGGGACAGGGTCCAGACCCTGGCCCACAGGTTCACCACTGCTCAGCCTTCCCTCCAGCACCCTGCACCCTCTCCTGCCTTCCTCCTGGGCCGCGTGAACCCATTAGTTAATTTTCCTTCCTCCTTCCTGTTCATGCCTGTAAAATCTCTCTCTCTTTCCCTGATAGAAATCCATCCAGAGTTGAAAATCTATGCCCAAGATACTTTTCAATTCTAAAATTCTGATGGCAGATCCTAAAAGCTGTGCCCTGGTGCAGTGAGGTCCAGGCTAGGCTGCCCACCACCACTGGCCATCTCCATCTGGGTCAAGGCCACATTTTTCTCTTAGCCAACAAGATCAGCAGCCCTGAATTGGCTCACCAGATAGTCCCACCAATCAGGGTGGCCCCCCCAGTCAACCCACCAGTAACCCAACTCTTACCACACTGGGTCCTTGGATCCTTGGGGCCAGGCTACCCAGCTGCCTTTCGAGTGAGTCAGCTCTTCAAACATCTGGCCACACTTCTGGGGTCTTTCAAGTCCCACTGCTGATCTGAGGTAGAGTTTCAGCTCTGACCCCCAGTCACCCAAGTGATTTGGGGTTTTCAGATTCTGGTAGCCAGTCACTACAGGAAATTAACAAGAGTGGACAAAAGGGGAATGCTGGAGTTAAATGCTGGGATATTTTTCTTCCTGGCCCTAATCTATCTTTAAATCTTGGTGATTTCTACTCAAGTCTAAGGGTCCTTTCTCAGCCGAAAGCAGTGGTTTCAACTGGGGGCGATTTTGCCTCCCAGAGGACACTTGACAAAATCTAGAGACATTTTTGGCTGCTGCAACTAAGGGGATGCTACTGGCATCTAGTGGGTGGAGGCTAGATGCTGCTTAGCGCCCTTCAGGGCACAGGGCGGCCACAACCAGGAACACCTGGCCCCAGACACCAACAGTGCAGAGGCCCAGAGCCCACCACCTAGACCAGACATCCTAACCCATTCTGAAATTCCTCCCTCTAGAGCACTCATGCCCTAGCCCCTCTGCTTTCTCCTGTAATGTCCCCCCTTTTCCTCTCCAGTCCTCCAAGTGTTTGAGATTCTATCACCAAATACGTTTCTCCCCCTGAAGGTTTTATCTGATCTAGTGATTTCACATCCTAATAAGGATGAATGGCACTTTGAATTTACCTTTCTTCTAAACTTCAATCCCATCCTCCTAAATAGGCTGTAAAAGAAATCTCCATCCAGACTGCCCGTCCTTCCTTCCCGTGTCACGTCTAAAACCAAACTGGCTCTGCCACATGCCGACTTCTCCCCAGATCTGCCCCAACATCCCTCACCCATGGATGTCGCATCACCCAGGTGCCAAACTCTGGCTCTTCCACCCTCTGTGCCTAGCACAGAAGTTGCTAGAGGGTCCCCTGGGAGCCGTCTGGAGTCCCCTCCCTCAGCCTTCCTGCTTCCTTCACTGTGGGTGGTTCTCCCTCCCTGAAAGGTCATGACTGGCCACAGCCTCCTTAATTCTTTTCATCAGGCCATCCTCCACACTGCCTCAACTTTTCCTAAAACTAAGCTCAAATCCTCATTTGCAAGACAAAATAACATAACAATAACAGTAACAAAGTTCAACATCTGATCCATTTCCTATCAAGATAGCCTCAGAACTGCTTGCCCTGACATTCCATGGTTTTCTCAGGGAGATCCTACCCAGGGTTTCCTGCCTTTCTCTCCCGGGGCTCCTCCAGGGCCCGGCAAGGTCCCCATTCTCTTTACCCAGCCACGTGTCAGGTTTCCTACTATTGGATCTTTGTTCATCATAGGCCAACATCTCCCACCCCCACCCCCCCTCTTCTGTTCATAGCCAAGACGTCTATCCCTCCACGGAGGCCCCTCTGAAACTCCATTTTCTCCGAGAAGACTTTCAAGGTCCTCCCAATTGGAGGGTTTTTTTTTCTTTTCTTTTCTTTTTCATGTTGCCTCTGCTCCCCGAAGCAAGATTGCTCTCTACCCCATACTTATTCCGTCAGTGCGTGTGCTCTCCTGGCAAGCAAACAAGATGCCAGAGAGACTGTTTAACAAAGGGGTCCCACAGGCTCACGAGGATGCAGAACAGAAACCCTGTACCCATTCCTAGAGAAACAGTGCTTTGGGAAAGAGCCGAAGTGAAGTGGGCTGCGCGCGAGGCCTGGCGAGAGCAAACCGTCCCTTTGGAGCCCCCATCGCGGCCTCCCTGAGGCTCCAAATCCCGACATCTACTGACCTTCCACTTGGCAGGGCTCAGCATCCCCGGGCCCTCAACTCCTTATCCATCTGGGGCAGCTCCTCTGCATCGGGGGCACTGAGCCCCCTCTCTCCTCAGGGTCTTGGCCCTCTACCTCCAGGCCATGGAAATCCTCCTCGCCTCGCCCCCAGCGGCGGATCCCTGTGTTAGGGGGGGTTTGGCCACCGCCATCAGCGAGAACGAGGGTCGGCCCCTGACAGCCCCGACCCCCCCTTTCAGCCTTTGTGACTTGGGGCATCAGGAAGAGTGCCCCCACGGCATCAGCCAGCCTCGTGGCATCCCCAGGCCTGGTCACCATACGCCGCCTACCAACCGCTTTCAACCACCCCAGCAGCACAGCCTCTTAGGGCGTTCCAACGCGGCGCCCCCTATTGGACCTCCCACTCATATCCGTTTTCCGGTCTGACGGCCCCTGCTCATTCGCCAGGCAGCCTTGATTGGCGTGACCCCAGCCCAATGGCTGACCCAGCGCTGGGGTCGGAGGGGATTGAGTTGACTGTGGCGACCCATCTGGACCATTCAGTGGATACCCAAATGGTTGAGCCATCGCGCGTGGCGATAGTTGTCCAAAGTTTGAACCAAAGTTCAGTATTGGCACTTGGAAGTGTGTAGACCCATACAGCTGAGATTATACGCGTTTAGGGGGGCTCCGAATGTTACCCAGGGTCCGATTTTGTCAGCTTCCCTCTGCACAGGGCGGCCACAGGGTTGGGGGATGTGAGGACAATGATGCGCAGTGGCTATGACCCCCTCTTTCTAAGAGCGATGTGTTAAGATTTAATGAGATTGGAGTGTGCGTGCGTAGTTCCCCCGCCTGCGGCTCCTAGACACAGCAAACCAGGCGGTGCGCTCCGTTTGCCGCAGCCCACCCTGTGTAACGCTCATCTCACCACTCCTCCCTGCCCTAAGGCCAGACGACCACCTGCGTCCTGCCCAGCTGCCTTGCACCTAAAAGTGACTCAGGTCCGTGTCATCCACAGCCGAGACAGATCTGATGCCCGTGTCCAGCGTTTTACGTGAACCACAAACAGCAGAATTTTTCCCGGAGCTCAAATCCCTCCGCAGACCCCAAACCCAGAGCAGTGTGTGTGCACGCACCAAGCCCACCCAGATGTGGACATCACTCTCAGCCGGCTCTGAGCCCACCACGCGCTATGGTGACAGGAGCGCAGCCCGGCCACTGCCGGGTTTATAGTCGGGCTTATTGCCGCCTCAGCGGGCTCAAGCTTCGGAAAAGTAAAGCGGCTGCTCTGGGAGACCCATAGCGAGAGGAGAGGGGCTGGACAGGGGGCTGGACAGGGGCTGGAGTGGGGTCGAAGAGGAGCTAGAGGAGCTGACCGACTAACCCTGCAGCCTGTACCTGAGGTAGGGAGCCGCGCACCGCGGCCGCAGCTGCCTGCACGGCACGGTGTGTATCTTTAGGTTCGGTGCGCACGGGGTTGTTCAGTCTCCGAGACCACCCTAAACCGGCCGTAAATATCAACTGAAATTCCATTTAGCCCTTCCCCAGAACAGTAGGGCCCCCCCGAAAGTCTGGGGCCCGCATTCTGAGGGGTCTCCTGTGCGTCCCGCGCCCCTGGTTCCATGCCGCGGCAGCTACCGCTTAGCGAGTCTCCGTAGTACATGAGCAAGACCCTCTTATTCCCCTGTATATATCGTCGTCCCCTTAAATGAGGGTGAACCCTGCCTGTGTCGTGCTAGGCTACTGTGGAGACCCCGAGTGTGGTGGGGATGGGGGACACTGAAGTGCTTTACAGGAGCCAGCCTTGGCAAAACAGCAAAGAAAACCTGCAGAAGACGCAGAAAGTACCCCAATGCGTTTTAAAAACAAATTACGTGCACATCTCGGCTGCCCCTTTGCCCCTCGCCTCCTGTCTGCTCCGCCGGTGGGCTCACGACCACCTGTCGCATTTCCGCGCGCGCTCGCACCCCCTTCTCACGCGCCCAAAGCCTTGGGCTCCAGACTTGGGGCTTGGGATTGGAGGCTGCCCAGGGGTGGGGGCTGCGGCTCTGGTGTTCAGGGGTATTTTGGGGTTATGAAACCCTCCTGCAGTCCCCCCTCCCCCTGAGGAGAATTATTTGGGTATGGGAGGGAGAGTTTCAGCTCCTGCGTTCAAGCAGCCCAGGGCCCACGTCTTGCGTCACGTGTCCCGCAACGCAGGAGAGCTCTCTCTCTGGCCAGGGGAGAAGAGAGGAGAAAGACTCCAAATCAGTCAGGGAGAGGAGTGGAAGGAGCCAAAACGTCCCTGCGAGGCCTGCGCTCATCAGCCCCCTTACCCAAAGTCCGGGGCTCCCGGCGCCTGGAACCGGCTCCAGGAGCCACCTAGGCACCAGGGCCGGCGTCCCCTGGTGGCAGAAGGAGAGCACTACGAGCGATTTTCGGACCGAATCGGCGCGCTCCTCTGATCCAAGCAGGCGGAGTTGGCCTGGAGCTGAGAGAAGAGAGGAGGGGACAAGGACAGGCCAAAGTGGGGAGGCCAGGGGCAACCTGGGGGGATAGAAAGTAGCCAGGAAGGAACCAAGACTCAACCAGCAACAATAGATTTGTTTCTGCCACGGTCTGGGGTTTGAGGCCCTGAACCCCCTGACCTCAGGAGGGTTGGAAAGTGGGATTGGAGAACTTTCTAGCTGATACTTTGATTTTTGTTTTTTTGGAAAATTTTTTTCACCCTAGTTTGGTTGGGTGCTCCGTCTCACGGGGCCCCAAGTTTATTTTAAGAAACCGCCACCGTGTTATGGGCGTGCGCAACTGCCTCGACGGCAATAATATGTCAGGACAACACAATATCCCCCTTGAACTCGGGCAACAGCCCGAGCAACCACCCTTGGAGGCCCCAGGGGCAGCTGCCCCCGGTGCTGGGCCTGGCGCAGCCGAAGAGATGGAGACCGAACCGCCTCACAGCGAGCCCATCACCGTTGAAGTTGAAGGTGAGACCTGTGGACTCCCAGAGGTCTCCAGGCCCAACTTCCAGGGCCTCTGCCAGGCTGTCGAGGAAGCTGGAGCCCATGGAGGCTACAGCCCACCTCCTGAGGAAACCATGCCCTTCGAGGTCGAGCAGTCCAGCATGGGAGACTACTGGCCTACCCTGGAGCACCCTGGAGACACCACTGGGACCTTTGCAGGCCTTGAGGCCTCCAGCCCAGCCATCGTGGAGCCCAGAGCCTTCGGTGAGGCCAGAGAAAGCTTGGGAAGCTACAGCCCTCCGCCCGAAGAAGCTATGCCCTTTGAGCTTGAGCAGCCTGACCAGGGAGGCTGCAGCCAACCTCTCTGCAGCCAACCTCTCTTGCAGGTCTCAGACCTTGCTCCAGGAGGTCCAGGTGCGGGGGTCTTCAGTGCTCCTCCCAAGGAGCCCCGAGCCCGCAGACCTGCAAACGCGGGGTTCAGAGGAGTCTGCAGTCCTCCCCCTGAGGAGGCTATGCCATTTGAGTTTGATGGAGCAGCCTTTGGGGACGACAGCCCACCCCCCGGGCTCCCCCGAGCTATCCCACAAATCGACGGCGGTGGCGGCAGCCAGATCGCGGCAGTCGCGATCCCGAGTGCGGTCCTCATCGCTCCCGCCACGAACGAGCCCCCCCCCTGGGTCCCAGGCATCAGCGGCAGCCCATCCCGAGAGGCTGTCAGACCTCCTCCACGCTTCGCGGGCGACAGCCCCCCGATGGAGATCTCCGGACCCCCGCGCGAGATTGGCAGCACCCCCGTTGGGGTCGACGACGCTCCCGTCAACATGGACAGCCCCCCAATCGCACTTGACGGCCCGCCCATCGAGATCTCTGGAGCCCCAGTTAAGAGAGAGCAAGCAGAGGGAGAGAGACCCCCAACTGAGGGAGAAGAAGCCGAGATGGAAGGAGGCTCAGCCACAGCTTTGGCGGAAGGAGGCAAAGCCCCCGATTCCGGGGACGGAACCCCTGCCTCTCCTGCTGCCGGGGCACGGCCTCCGTACGCCGCCCCTGGCCCCGTTCCGTCCCCGACGGCCCCGGCCGGGGACGGCCCGACCGGCCCCCCGTCGGACCCGGCCGTCCCGACGGCC